TCGCCCTCTCGCCCGCCGTTCACCCACCGTCACCCCTACAATGCCTCTCCCCCCGCCGCACCATCTCCAAGCTTCGATCCGCCCTCAGCCCACCTCAACCTTCACCTCCATTAGATCCACCCTCGCCCTGATCCGATCGCCGCCGAGCTGTCGAGCTGGCGGAGGAGGCGGTGGGTTTGGTGAGCTCGCGGGTGATGGGGGAGGAGGATGGAGAGAGATGAGGAGAAGGGGCTGAGGGAGAGCGTCGGTGATTTATTTGGAAAATCGACCATTTTTTGCACGGGACTGGTAGTCCCGTGCAAAAAATGGTCGATTTTGCCAATTTTTTTGTTAGGCGGTCGGTTTTGCCTATTAAATTTGAAAGAAGGTCGTTTTTAAAAATTTGTCCTTATTTGGATTGGAATTCAGGCTCTTGGGAAGTATGGTATCATCTGCCTTGAAGATATTGTGCATGAGATTTCCAATGTGGGACCGCATTTTAAGGAGGTGAGCAGGTTCCTGTGGCCATTCAAGCTCAAGAAGCCTGAAAGCCTTCACCCTTTGAAGAAGAAGCATTTCAAAGATGGTGGTGATTCAGGCAATCGCGAAGAACACATCAATGCATTTATAGAGAAGTTGAATTAAGGGGGACGAGTGATGTCTTGCTTCGTGCAGTGGTCGGCTTGAATTTGTTTCAACAAGCCATGTGGCTTGAACTTTGGCTGTTAGAGATGGAAACTGTGTTTTAAAAACTGTGGATTTGAACTGTTTACCATCCGAAGTTTTGGATTATACGCATTCCTTATGGCCAATTACAAATTTTGTGCTAATTTATAATTTAGGTTGTAATCACTTGGGAGGCAACATTGACGATTAGATTGCCCAGCATCCATCTATCTCTACAGCTGACAGAGAGACTTCAGTGCTGATCTGAGCTCCTCTTCGCTCGCCTGGATTAGCTCAAGTAGGCCTTGCCATAAGTACCATCCCTTCTTTCTCTTGGAATTGTTCTCTAAATCTTCTTCGAGGACGTAGGGTCTCTCATCTAAGAGTGTTCTCGGTTCATCAAGCCTTGGAGCAGTTAGGATGAGTTCCGTAGTCCCTGGAGCGGCGATGAGGACTGATGCAGCTGAACCCATCACTGCAGAGTTGTTTGCCTCGCCGTCTGTGGAAACAAGGTCGGAGCTTGACACAGTCGTCTCTCCTGCGGGGATCAGGAGACTTAGACCAAGAAAGAATGCACAGATCATACGCTTGACGAGCTTGGTATAATAGCGACAACCTAAGAGAGGCAACTTCCTAGCCATGCACACAGTTTTGACAAGTGACAACAATATGAGTTATGAAGGAAATGAAATGTATTCCGACTCTCTTCTACGAAACTTTCTTCTGGGACATAACCAAGGATGACATTCCATTGTTGATGCCGAAATCGTCTAGGGGAACAACTAGACTTGATAAGGTTAACTATTCTCATGTTGTTCTCATTCTTAAAGTTCCTTGCTCACGGCATGTAGGTGACTTTAGGCCTATTTGCCTCCTTAATGGATCATTAGTAGTCACCTCTAAGGTTCTTGCAAATTTCCCAAGTACAAAACTCAGAGATTTCATTGGTGAAAGTCAATATTGTTTTGTGGCAAGAAGATATATCTTGGATGGCGTACAACGCAAGAGGTGATACATTACTACAATATGTATAATTAAAATGATATCTCCTTAAACTAGACTTTGGAAAGGCATATAATGAAAGAAAATTTCAAAACAACATCAAACCATGTTTTAATTTTCAAAACCGACCCACTTTTTTTTTTTACTAAAATCGACCCACTTTTTGCCACGCCAGCTTAATCTCATTCCTAAACAGTCGGGGTTGCCAACCCCGACTGTTTAGGAGGTTGTTAAACCCCAATTAGAAGCCTTAAACCCGATTTTTTATGCCCTAAATAGTCAGGGTTGGCAACACCAATTAGGAAATGAGATTAAGCTGATGCGACAAAAAGTGAGTCGATTTTGGTAAAAAAAAATTGGATCGGTTTTGAAAATTAAAACATGGTTTGAGGTTGTTTTGAAAATTTATTCGCATATAATGTGGTGGATTGGGATTGCCTTTTGGAGGTCCTCTCTCTAAGAGATTTCGGACCAAAACGGATAGGATTAAATCTTGGCTATACTCGACAAAAATTAACATACTACTCAATAGAGCACCTAGTAAAGAAATCGTCTGCGAGAGGATCTTAGATAGAGAGATAGGAGTATCAACACAATGTTGATCGAGAGAGCTTTAGGTTGTTCGGTTGTTCCCGTAAAGAATTTCCACTACCATACTTGGGAATTCCCATTAGACCTGGCAGACTGAGGATACAAGATTGGATTCCGTGATCAAAAGGATTGAGAAAAAACTTGAAGGTTGGAAAGGGAAAACTTCTATTTTAGGAGGAAGAATAACTTTACCGAATGTATATTTATCAGCTACACCTTTGTACTTCCTTTCCTACTTTGAGATGCCATGTTGGGTTGAGGCCAAAATCAACAACATTAGAAGAAAGGTTCGCTAGAAATATAATAGGTTGGATAGGGGAGGATACAATCTAGTTTGTTAGAGACATGTTAGTTGTTCAAAGGAAGAGGGAGGGCTTGGTGTGTTAACCCTTTAGGATATGAACAAAGCAATGCTTTCACGTTGGTTGCAAAAGATCTTGGCGCGACCTCTGGCTCTATGACTCTTTGTTATCACATAAATATGGTCCAAGATCAGGATTGTGGAATCCGACGAAATTTTTAAATCTGTTCACGATTTTTGAAGGGAGTTGCTAATGTGTGAGATGTATTCCAGGTAGGAATTAATTTCTCACTCGGTAATAGAACTCACACATTAGCAACCTCCACACATTAGCAACTCCCACACATTCATGATCTATTTACGCTTCTAGATGATTGAAAACTTAAAAATGATTGGCAAGATGTGTCGCTTTAGTGATGAGAGCCTATGGAATCTTTCACTGTTAAGTCCATGTATAGTTTTTTTTTTAATTTTGGTGGGTATACATTATCAACAACTAAGGTGATATAAACCTCTAGAGCACCTATGAAAGTTAGAGCCTTTTCTGTAGCTTGTCATTAGAAATGCCATCTTGACCTGGGACAACTTGATGAAGCATAAGTGGTAGGGATGTAATGTATGTGTCCTTTGTCATTAGTACTGAAACAAGAGAGCATTTTATTCCTCCATTATTCATTTGTGAATGTTCTTTGGGTAAATATTAGGTCGCACTTCTATGATATTGAACAACCTAGATATTTATATCATATTTGTCTGGTTGGAGTAGGGCTAGGATTAAAAAGTCAAATCTATCTTAATGGTGCTTAATTACATACAACAACCTCTTGATGGGCAGTCTGGCGTGAAAGAGATAATAAAACTTTTAGAAATAATGCAAGATCTGCATCATATACATTTCTTCACACGATTGCTGACTTCTCTCTCTGGATAGATTTGCTGTTAGACGAGGCTATTGCATGATTGGCTCATGCTGGTTTGCGCCATCATGTGCATGATGACTGCGATGGTCAATAGATTGGACGGCATGATAAGTCGACGGGCTATACCAGAGTATTTGTATCCCTGCTGTGATGCTCCTTTATTAGTGGTAAATGAATAATTTCTAAACTGTGATCGATGTTGTGGACAACCCAGGATATTATATCAGGGCCAAAGATTAATGGTGAACAACTTATAATGATTATTGATACTGGACATAGATGCTTGAAGCTGCCTGAAAGTAGATCTAAGCTTCAGGAACTTCACAGAATAATTAGAGCTTTCTAGTCCAAATGTTTTCTTGTAACACAAACACTGGGTACTGTAACGACTTTGTGATAGACCTTATTCTCGCCTGCATTGTTTTATTGAGTAACCATTATAAAGTTTTTGCTTTTGTTTAGTTAGAGCTCTTTCACATCTTCTTGTTTCTTTGTGTGTTCTATTCTTTCTGTACATCGAACCATACAACTATCATCCATTATTTTGTTGAAGATCTTATGCAGGCGATTCCTTTAATTGTGGGGTGCCCAGCATGCTTGAGGAACTTTTTAAATCTCTTCTGCGAGCTCTCATGTTCTCCAAATCAAAGCCTATTCATTAATGTCACTTCCATATTAAAGGTTTGTCACATTCTATAATTTTTTTCTTCTCTTCATTTTGAAGATTGTTGTGCAGTTCTGGGTTCCTTCTAGTTGTATTTATGCCCCAATAATTTTTCATTCCTTGCATTTTTTGGCACATGAATGTCCATCTCTATATCCAGACTTCTATTGTATAAACTAAATGCTATTTGCTTTTTTTGGTAGGTTACCAACACTACAGCTGTTGATGGTATTGATTTATATATACGTATGCTGAAGAGTTGTATAACTCTTGCAAAGATGTCAAATTTGGGACAATGAATAGTAGGGCCATGGAATTAATTGGTGGAGGAGGTGCTCAGAATTATACAGGTTAGTAGAATCAGTAACTACTTTCCCAGTTCCTGCATGGACATTTGCAGACTTCTACGTACCAAGCTTCGCTACTAGTATTTTGGTACATACGTCCTTTTGTATGATTTTGATATTTTGTAAGGGGAGTGTTGTATTTTGTATCTATAAGGTTCGTTAAACTTTTTTTTTTTCAAATAAAACATGGGGGCTCTCTCACCGTTTTTATCAAAATAATAATAATAACAATAAGTAAGAATAATGAGTGATTAATCTCGTGTGTGATGTATGTATGTGCAGATCATCTTTTTAATTCTTTCCCCAAGTGATTTTGTAGACATCCATTCTTTCAGAATAGGAGAAAAATTAATTTATGACAAATAGTTCTGACGATAGTTAAAAAAACACTATCTACGAAAATAGAGCAACATCTATTCACAATTAATCTTGAATATTACACCTTATATAAAGACTACATACAACAATGATATACGAGCAAGTAGTGAGAATAATAACAAGGTTGCTCACCGTCAAAGCACCGGTAAACTCACCCTATGTGATCTTAGACCAAGAGGGAAAATTAGCCGTGTACGAATAATGATGACTCTATTATTCTTTTTCTTTTCTTATATTGCTTTCACACTAGAAGAGAGAAAATGCATGGTTTTTTGATAAGTCATTAGAGTAGTGTAGTGATCACAACTCTTAATTACACTCCAGCTGGCATCATTACACGATAATATCACTCCCTAATCCCATACTTTAACTGTTATCAAACGCCCTCCCCTCACTTACCCTCCAACTTTCCCAAAAATGCCCTTGGAGTGCTCCGAGCCCTCTCCGCCACCAACCCACCACCGCGATTGGTTCTTCCCCTCCGCCCCTTTCCTCCACACCGCCGCCCCCTACAGAACCCCAAACCCTAACCCTAACCCTAGAATGCACTCTCCTCCCCTCACCCCGACTCTCCTTCGGCTGGCGCTGCAGGCCGGCGGACTTCCCGCCCCCAAACCCAGCCTCCGCGACTCAAGGTTCACTCCGGCGTCCAGCTTCTCTTCGTCGCCTAATTCGTCGCCGTCGCCGGGTCTTAAACCGATCCCGTACTCGATCTCGGGGAGGGAGGCGAGGTATTCGGGAGCTAGGAGGAAGGCGGCATTCGACGCGCTGAGATC